GTGTGTGTGTGTGTGTGTGTATGTGTGTGTGTGTGTGTGTGTGTGTCCTGGTGGCTGGGATCAGAACGCCCCGCTGTGTGTGTGTCCGAAAAGGGGAGTGTGCCCTCTCCCGAGGGCAGCGCACACTGCCGACCTGTGTGTCATAGCCCCATAATGTCGGAAGCATTGGGGAGTCTCCACTCCACCAGCTGCCGTGGCTGGTGCTAACGAAGCTGGGGCCTCCGACGTTGCTCCCGATTCCTGGAGGGGTACAGTGGCCCCTGCGGGGTCCCCGGTGCCCCCATCTGTGCCCCGGCCTGCCTGACCTCCCCCCCCCATCCCTCCCCCGTCGCCCCAGGGCGACTTGAAGCGCTACCTACGAGCCCAGTGCCAGGCAGACGGGCTGACCCCCGACCTGCTGACCCGCGACCTCGGCACGCTGCAGCGCATGGCCTATGAGCTCACCCTCGGGCTGCTGCACCTGCACAAGAACAACTACATCCACAGGTGAGCGCCCGGACGCCTGGGTTCTCTCCCGGCCGCGGAAGGGGAGGGGATTCGGGGGGTTAGAGCCAGGAGTGGGGGCTGGGCGCCAGGACTCCTGGGTTCTATCCCACCTCCGCTAGGGGAGGCGGATCTAGTGGTTAGAGCAGGGAGGACTGGGGGCCAGGACTCCTGGGTTCTTGCCCACCTCTGGAAGGGGAGGGGGATGGCGGGGTTAGAGCGGGGGGTGTCTGGGAGGCAGAGCTCTCCCCAGGGCAGGTGGGACACAGACGGGGTGTCCCATGGGGATGCTGCCTGCGGCTGACTGGGGTCTCCCCACGTTCCCCCACAGCGACCTGGCCCTGCGGAATTGTCTGCTGACCTCCGACCTCACCGTCCGTGTCGGTGACTATGGCCTCTCGCACAACAACTACAAGGTGAGAGCCCTGGGGTGGGGATGGGGCATGGGGCCTTTCCCCTCTAGGGGGCGTCGGCTCCCACCCGGACCCAGGGCAGGGACTGGCTGGCTCAGGGGTGTGGGGCTGGGGCACGGGGCCTGTCCCCTCTAGGGGGCACTGGCTCCCATCCGGCCCCAGGGCAGGGACTGGCTGGCACTGGGGACTCGGGGGCGGGTGGGGGGGTTTCCTGCCCAGTGCTGACCCCTCCCCACCACGCAGGAGGATTATTACATCACCCCCGACCGGCTGTGGATACCGCTGCGCTGGGTGGCGCCGGAGCTGCTGGACGAAGTTCACGGGACGCTCGTGGTGGTGGATCAGAGCAAGGAGAGCAACGTCTGGTGAGTCCCGCACTGTGTCCTGGCGCCTTCTGCACCCTGCTAAGCCCCCGGGCAGCCGGGACCGCCCCCAGCCTCAGGGGCAAAGGGTCAGTGAGGGGGAAGCTTTGGGGGGATCGCTGTCCCAGAGCTACCTGTTCTACATGGCTGTTAACCAGCCCCCGCACCCACGCCAGATGGGCCGCGTCCCAGCATCGGGCGAGGAGTCCCCGTATACCCAGCCCCACCCCAGAGGTGGCTGCATCTCAGTGCCGGGTGAGGGGTCCCCATATACCCAGCCCCCGCGCCCCACCCCAGAGCTGCTGCATCTCAGGGCCGGGCAAGGGTCCCTGCACTCACCCCGTAACCCTGCTCTGCCCAGGTCCCTGGGGGTGACGATGTGGGAGCTGTTTGAATTCGGCAGCCAGCCCTACCGGCACCTGTCGGACGAGGAGGTTCTCGCCTTCGTCATCAAAGAGCAGCAGATGAAGCTGGCCAAGCCGCGCCTGAAGCTGCCTTACTCTGACTACTGGTGAGTGCTGGGTCCCTGTCCCACAGCTGTCCCACAGCTGCCCCACCTCCCCGGCAGGTCCCAGTGGGGAGCTGGCTGGCCACGACCCTAGCCTGGTAGGGCTGAGGACCACCGGACTCGGTGTGCGCCTGACGGGCTCTTCCATCGCTGACAGCGGCAGGTGGTTCCTGGCTGGGTTGTCACTGGGGCCCGTCACTGGTCCTTTTCTCCCATTCGTCTTGTCCTGCTTTGCTCTGTGTCTCCGGCTGTTCTCTTCTGACCGTTCTTCTTTCTCTCTGACTGTTGTTTTCCAACTGGTCCTCTGCCTCCCTCTCTCTGAGTGTTTTTTTCTGACTGTTCTTCCATTTCCGACTGTTTTTCTGTCTCTACAGATGTTATTTTCTACTTTTCTTGGGGTTTTTTCTGGCTGTTCTTCTGTCTCTGGCTGTTTTTTCCCCTCTTGCTCTTTCTGACTTCTGTTTCTCCAGCTGATGCTTCTGACTGTTCTTCTCTGTCTCTTTGGCTGTTATTTTCGGACTGTTTTTTTCTGTCTCTCTTGATTTTTTCTGTCTTCTGTCACCAACTGGTCTTCTGTCTCTACAGCTGTTATTTTCTTACTGTTCTTCTGCCTCTCTCTCCAGCTGTTCTCTCTGGCTGTTATTTCCTGACTGTTTTCTCTCTCTCCAGCAGTTCTTCTCTCTCTCTCTGACAGGCTGTTTTTTTCCCCCTGACTGTTCGTCTGTCTCTCTCTGATTTTTTTTCTGGATGTTCTTCTGCCTCTTTCTGACAGTTCTTCTGTATCTTTGGCTGTTACTTTCTGACTGTTCTGTCTGTTTACCGATTGTTCTGTCTCTTTCTGGCAGTTGTTTTCAGACTGTTCTTTCACCTCTCTCCAGCTGTTTCTCTGTCTCTCCGGCTGTTGTTTTCTGCTGGTCCTTCTGTGTCTCTCTGGCTGTTCTTCAGTCTCTACAGCTGCCTTATTCCCGACTCTTGTCTCTATCTCTCCGGTGGTTATTCCACTTCTCCAGCTGTTCTTTTTCCGACTGTTGTTCTCTGACTGTTCTGTCCCTCCCTGCCCTGACCGCCCCCTCTCCCTCCCATTGCAGGTACGAGGTGATGCAGTCATGCTGGCTGCCGGCGCCACAGCGCCCCACACTGGAGGAGCTGCACCTGCAGCTGACCTACCTGCTGACGGAGCGCTGCCACGCGCAGGCGGAGGAAAGTTTTGAGTGGCGCTGGAACGCCCTGAAGCCCAAGCGCTCGCCGGCCGCCTCCCCCCCACACCGGCGCCGCTCGGAGGAGATCTCGGCTTACCCGCTGCTGGATGGCTTCCAGGGGGCCGATCTGGACGACGTCCTCACTGTCACCGAGAGCAGCCGGGGGCTCAACTTCGAGTACATGTGGGAGAAGGCCCGGCTGGGGCGCTGGAAGGCCGGCCCGGCCCCCGGGGCCACCCCCTCCAGCAACGGCGGCCTGGCCGTGCCTGGCGCCAACCCCTTCTACGAGGCGCCAGCACGGCAGAGCCTGGAGACGCCCAGCGTGGTCCCAGTGATTAGCGCCCGCAGCCCCTCGGTCAGCAGCGAGTACTACATCCGGCTGGAGGAGCACGGCGAGGGGGAAGGGCCCGAGGGCACCGTCGGCACCCCCAGCCCCGTCTACGAGCGCCAATACGGGGTGCCCGGCTCCCCGCCGGAGCCCCTCTTCCCTTCCGACTGGGACCCCATCGAAGAGGTCCGGGGCAGCCCCCCGCCCCCGGCCCACCACCACCTCCCCCACCTCCTGCCGGAGGGGCCGGCCAGCTGGGCCCCTGGTGCCACCAACCCCTTCATCTCGGTGTCTCGGGAGCCGGCCCGGCGCAGCGCCAACCCCTTCCGGGCTGAGATCCAGGAGACCTCGCTGACGGATCCAGCGCCGGGGGGCATCTTCCTGGGGGAGTCCCTGCTCCACGTGTACCAGGAGCTGGAGGAACAGCAGCGTGGCTGGGACTGCGAGGGGCTGGAGGAGCGGGGGGCCGGGGAGACGCTGGCGGGGGACCCCTCGGAGTTCCGCCCCTCGCCCCCCTGGGACCGGGAGCCCTCCCTGATGGAGGAGCAGAGCTCGGCCGGCAGCACGGACGGGGAGGACGCCAGCAGCGGCGGGGACGGGCGCCGCAACCCCCTGCTCTGCCCGCTCTGCAGCCGGGGCGGGCGCTGCCGCTGCGCCCCGGGCCGGGGGGAGGTTGTGAGTGGCTGGAGCAACCACGCCCCCATCCCCCGGCCCCACCGCGACAGCTACGGCACCGAGGACGACTCCTCCCTCAAGGTGGAGCGGGGCTCCCTGTCCGACTGCCCCATCCTGTTGGGAGAGGGCCCCGCCGGGGCTGGAGAGGGCGGGGCCGGGCCGCTTGCCCCACCCCCTTTGGCCGGGGTGCCGCCCCCTCCCTCGGCGTTCTACGACCCACTGATGGGCACGGCCGTGGTGAGCTACGAACTCCAGGACTACCCCAAGCGGGGGGTGGCCGGGAGGCCGCCGGGCTCGCCCTTCCCCGGCCTGACCGCCGCCTGCTGCAGCGTCATCGTGCCGGTGGAGATCCCGCCCCTGGCCACGCTGGCGGAGAGCGCCGACGAGGAGACCATCGCCATCGTGCCCGAGGCCGCAGACGGCTTCGCGGCCAGGCTGGAGATTGGCCCAGCCCCAGTGGGCCGGCGGAGGGGCCCGCTGGACTCCGGGGACTCGCTGGATCTCCCCTCCAACACCAGCTCCTCCGAGGGCTGCAGCCCAGCCTCCCGCTTCTCCTCGCCGGGCCAGAAGTTCCCCGACAGCGGCTACGAGACGGAGAGCACCTTCTCCCCGGAGCTCCTCGTCCGGGAGCCCGAGGAGGAAGAGGACGGGGAGCCGCCCGGGCAAGGAGATGCCGCCCAGCTGCCCCCCACGCCCATCTCGGAGTCCACCAGCGACCTGACACTGTCGGAGGAGACGCCGGGGGCCGAGGAGGAAGCGGGCACAGGGCGGGGGTTGGCCACGACCCACCGGGACTCGGCCTATTTTTCGGACGGCGAGGCGGAGGGGGGCCGGGGGGAGGAGGAGGAGCCGGCGGCGGGGCAAGGCGGGGGGCAGCCAGCGCCGGCCAAGTTGGAGGCCGGCTTCGTGGTGCAGGTGTCCAAGGAGCAGCTGCTGGTGTCGCTGCGGGAGAACATCACCCGCAACCTGCTCTGCAACCACCGGGACCTGGGGACCCTGGCGTCCGGGGCCCCAGCTGCCAAGGAGGAGGCCGTGATCCGGCTCTGGGCCCTGGAGCCCGAGGGGGCCCGGGGCTCTGGAGACGAGCAGGAAGGGGGCGGCGGGGAGGTGGCAGATGGGCCGCCCCAGGAAGAGGAGGAGGGGGCAGAGAGCGAGGAAGGGCAGCTGGACGGCCAGGGGGTGCCGGAGCCGAGCGGGGAGGCCCCTGTCCCCAGCCCCGAGGGGGCCAACCCAGCCTCTGAGCAGCCGCAGCCCCACCTGGACTTCAGCACGGCAGGGAGCCCAGGCAGTGAGGACATCAAAGGTAGGGAGATGCCAGGGGTCGGGGGTGCCATCGGAGGGAGGGGGCAGGGACCGTCTGGGGGCAGGGGGAGCCGTCTGGGGGAAGGATTGGGGACCAACTGGGAGGAGGGAGAGCCATCTGGGGAAGAGTTGGGGACCATCTGGGGAGAGGAGGGGCTGTCGGAAGGACAGGAGAGGGATCGTCCAGGGGGAGGGGTACCCTCTGCGGGACAGAGGAAGGGAGGTGTTGGGGGATGGAACAGAGGGATGGATGGAGGACTGGGGGTGGATGGACTGAGGATGGGGGGGCAGTGGGGACAGTGGCAGGGATGGATGGAGGATGGGGGTGGGGACAGATGGAGGCCAGGAGGTGTGGGGGATGGATGGAGGGATGGATGGAGACCGGGAGGTATGTGTGTGTGGGGGGTGAACGGAGGGATGGATGGAGGACCGGGGGTGTGCGGGGATGGACAGAGGACTGGGGGTGGATGGACAGAGGATAGGGGAGCGGTGGGGACAGTGGCAGGGATGGATGGAGCATGTGGGTGATGATGATGGAGGCCGGGAGATGGGGGGGATGGATGGACAGAGGATGTGGGGGAGACGGGGACGGCGGCAGGGATGGGGGACAGGGGTGCTCACCCCCTCTGACCCTTGAACTTTCACCTCCACCCTTCTCTCCCTTTGCCTCTCTACCCTGACCTTTGCCCCCTCATTCTCTCCCCCTGTCCCGTCTCCGCCTGCAGCCAAGGTCTCGCGCCTGTCGCTGGCGCTGCCCCCGCTGAGCCTGCAGCCCTTCGCCGGCCCGGGGGGGCGGAAGGGCTGTGGGGGGCTGGCGCCGGAGGAGGAGGGGGCCGGGCGGGGGGCGCCGGGGCCGGGCGAGGAGGAGGAGGATGAGGAGGCACCGGGTGTCGGGGGCGTCCCCATTGTGGTCAGCGACTCGGATGATGGGCGCAACCTGCGCGGGCTGCTCAAGTCCCCGCGCTCGGCCGAGGAGGCTGCCGAGCTGGACCGGAAACGCAAGATGGTGTCCTTCTTCGACGACGTTACCGTCTACCTCTTCGACCAGGTGAGGGCGGGGCCTGGGGCGGGGCCTGCGGGATGGGGGCGGGGCCTGAGGGATGGGTCAAGGCCCAGGAACGGGGAATGGAAACGTAAGATGGTGACCTTCTTCAACGACGTTACCGTCTACCACTTCGACCAGGTGAGGGCGGGGCCTGGGGCATGGGGCGGGCACCAGGGGACAGGGGGTGGACCAGAACCGCAAGGTCGTGTCCTTGTTTGATTGCGTCACCGTCTACCTCTTTGAACAGGTGAGGGTGGGGACTGGGGGACAAGGGCGGGGCCTGGGGGATGGAGGGCGGGGCCAAGAGAGCAGGGGGTGGAGTCTGGTGTAGGAAGGCGGGGACAAAGAATAGGGAGGAACCCGGGGTGATGGGAAGGGGGTGGGGCCAGGCCAGGGGGGCGGGGCCAACACACTAATTCTCCCCCATCTGCTCCTAGGAGACGCCCACCAACGAGCTGAGCTCGCAGAGCGGCCCAGAGGGCGAGGGCGGCACCACCCAGGGCCCCGCGGGGCAGCCTGCCCTCGAGGCCTTCCCACCCGCCGACGGATTCAGTGAGCCCCACGCCACGGGGGGTGGGAGTGGCTACCGGGGGGTGGGCAGGGCCAAGCCATCACCAATTATTTCATGGGCTCGTTTGCATATTTTAAAATGCTCGTTTGCATACACCATAAACAGCAGCTGCTGGTCGACGCCCCCTTGCCATGGTACCCCAAGGTGGGGGGAGGAGGGAGCTGAGCCAGAGGGAGGTGGGGGCTCAAGAGGAGATGGGAGGGGCTAGATACAAGCCAGATATCCCCAGGGGAAGGGGGCGTTGGCTGTGCCGACCAGTGGGGAAAGGGGCATTGGCAGTGGGGTGGGGCTGGCCACGCCCCCTCTCACCCTCCCCGTGCCCCCAGGTGGCAGCTTCGAATGGGACGACGACTTCCCACTGATGGCCCAGAACCCGTCCTTTGTCTCAATGGTGACGGACCCCAGCTCGGGGGCCCCCCCAACGCCGCCCCCCGCGCTGCTCCCGGCCAAGGGGGCGGAGCCCAGCCTGATGGACGCCCTGCGCTTCTCCCGCTTCACCGTCTCTCCCGCCCTCGAGCCCCACCTGGCCCCCCGCGAGACCGAGCTGGTGCCCACAGCCAGTGAGTGAGACGGGAGACCAGGGTGATGGGCCCTGATCCGGGGGCAGGGAGGAGGCAGAATACCAGGGTAGATGGGCCCATGGGGGTGATATGGGGGCAGGGAGGAGGCAGGATACCAGGGTAGATGGGTCCATGGGGTTGATCTGGGGGCAGGGAGGAGGCAGGATACCAGAGTAGATGGGCCCATGGGGGTGATCTGGGGGCAGGGAGGAGGCAGGACACCAGGGTAGATGGGCCCATGGGGGTGATCTGGGGGCAGGGAACTGGGGTGATGGGTCCATGGGGCTGATCCAGGCCTTTTTGCTCTGTCCTTCTGCTCCTCTCTCCTTCTCTTCCAGACCCCATTGAGAACTGAGGCGGGGACCTGCCCCCAGCAATCAGGAACTCCATGGGATGGCGCTGGGCCATTGCCCCCCCCCCGCACCCTCACCCCCTGGCCTGACTGGGAGACGCATGCGCCAGGCGTGTTCTGGGGGACACAGAGACTCCTTTTTGGCGCCCGGCCGGAGGGGGGCGGCATGACCAGCGTTTTGGGGATCCCTCCCCCCCCCGAGCGTCCCCACAAGGACTCGCTTCTCTGGACAATTTTTTTACAGTGACTCAGCTGATGGGGGCAGCCAGGCTGCTGAATGTACCCGCCCCCCCCCCCGTGCCCCTCTCTGCCCCCTTCCCCCCACGCGGGAGTTTGCTGTCAAAACTGTCTTGTGCCAAATCCAACCTCAAGGGGCAGCGAGCTATGTATCGGGATGGGGGGCTCAGACTGCCCCCCCCAGAGCAGGGGGGGCTGGGATTGGCCCCCCTACCGGTTTAACTCTGTGTCTCAAACAAAGGGGGGGAACGCCCCATAACTCATCAGCAATGGGGGCCCCCCCCCGCTGTGGAATGTAGGCCCCAAAGCTGCCACCCGCTTCCCCCTCTTGGCACCAGACGCCGCCTGACGGATGGACAGATGGAGAAGGGGGGGCGTTATACAGACACCTTTGTGCCCCCCCCCAGGATGTGCACTGAGGATGGAGCCCCCACCACCTGCAGCTGGCGATCAGCTGGGGCCCCGGGATTCAGCAGGGAGGGGGAATGAAGGTGGGCGGGGGACAGGAAGAAGGTTTGTCTAAAAGGTCTGACACTCACTGGTTGGTACTGGGGGCCGAGCGGAGACCCTGGGCTGGTGCAGGCGGCTGCTGGGTTATTACCGGCACTGGAGGGGGGGCATCACTAGTTTATACTGGGAACCTGATGGAGTCGGGGGGGGGGGTTACAGAGCCTGTTGCAGGGGAGGGTCACTGGGTGTATTTTCTAGTCCTGGGGGCCCACCCCCTGCCTTTGGCCCATTGGGGTTACATGGGGTTAAGCAAGGGGCCTTTCCCCTCTAGGGACTACCAGCTCCCATCTGGGCCCAGGGTGAGGGACTGGCTCACTCAGTGGGGCAGGGAATGGAACACAGGGGGCCCATCTACCCAGTATCCTGCCCCCTCCCTCCCAGATCAGACCTATGGGTCCCTCTACCCCAGTGTCCAGCCCCCCTCCCTGTCCCCCCTGGATCAGACCCATGGGTCCCTCTACCCCGGTGTCCAGTCCCGCTCCCTGCCCCCCCGGATCAGATCCATGGGTCCCTCTACCCCGGTGTCCTGCCCCCTTGCCCAGCCCTATCTAGCCTGTGTCAGAAGTGGGCCTGGATTTCACCGGCATCCTCCAGCACACGTTTCTGGATCAGTTTGTCATTGGGGGGGGGAATCCACCTGCCCCCCCAAGAACCAAGCCCCTCCCCCCCCAGGCAGCTGCCAAACAAGGCCAGGTCTGTAAATACGTGGGCACGGGGAGACGTCTGGCGTCTCGCCCGGCGCCGCCTTCGGCCTGCTCCTGATTTGCCAAAATGAACAAAGAGATTAAAAAAGAGTGAATATTAAAACGCAAGTGTCTTCTACCCGCGAGCCAGCGAGTCATGGGGGAGGCTGGACACATGGATGGCGGTGGGGTTTGGGGGAGCGAGGTGTGTGAGGGGGGAGGATGTGGGGCGACAGATGGAGGGGTCGAGTGCTGTGTTGTATGGGCTAGCAGGATGGAGCGGGTACGTGGGGGGGAGGTGTGGGGTACATGGGGGGGATGGCTGGAAGGATGCATGCAGCGACAAACAGAGCGGGTAGAAGGGACGAGACGGGCTCCCCCCGTATTCAGTGAGGCCTCAGGGAGGGATTTAAATTAAACTTTATTAATATTGGGGTCAGAGGCAGCATTGTGCAAGCTACAGAAGGGCTTGCCCCATCACCCCCTGTACCCACCCAGAACACAGGGCCCGGGCCCTCCAGCATGGGGTGCCAGGGACACACCCAGAGCACAGGGCCCGTCCCTCCAGCAGGGGGCGCCAGGGACACACACACAGAGCGCAGGGCCCGGGCCCTCCAGCAGGGGGCGCCAGGGACACACACACAGAGCGCAGGGCCCGGCCCCTCCAGCAGGGCGCCCCAAC